AACATTTATCATGCTAATGGACATCGAAAGAATCTGGAGTAGCAATCCTTATTAGACAAACTAGATTTTATTTCATTTTTTAAAGGATTATTTATTTGAGATAGAGTGAGAGAGAGTGTGTGCACACACACAAAGGGAGAGGGAGAATCAGACTCCCCAATGAGCAGAGAGCCCAATGTGGGGTTTGATCCCAGGATTTTGAGATTCTGACCTGAGCTAGAGGCAGATGCTTAACTGACTGAGCCACCCAGAAGCCGCCAGAGAAACTAGATTTTAAGCCAAAGACTGTAATAAGAGATGAAGAAGGATACTATATCATAATAAAGGGGTCTATCCAAGAAGAAGATCTAGCAATTATAAATATTTATGCCCCCAGATTGGGAGCACCCAAATTTATAAATCAATAATAAAAACAAGAAATGCATTGATAATAATACTATAATACTAGGAAACTTTAACACCCCACTCACAGCAATGGACAGGTCATCTAAGCAGAAGATCAACAGGGAAACAATCGCTTTGAATGGCACACTGGACCAGATGGACTTCACAGATATATTCGGAACATTTCATCCTAAAAATAACAGAATACACATTCTCCTTGAGTGCAGATGGAACATTCTCCAGAACACATCACATACCTGGTCACCACTTAGGCCTCAATAAGTACAAAAAGATTGAGATCATACCATGCATATTTTCAGACCACAATTCTATGAAACTTGAAATTAAGCACAAGAAAATATTTGGGATGATCACAAATACATGGAGATTAAAGAACATGCTACCAGAGAATGAATGAGTCAACCAGGAAATTAAAGAATTAAAAAACTACATGGAAACAAATGAAAATGAAAACAGGATAGTTCAGAACTTTTAGGATGCAGCAAAGGCAGTCCTAAAAGGAAAGTATATAGCAATACAGGCCTTCCCCAAGAAGCAAGAAAAGTCTCAAATATACAACCTAACCTTATACCTAAAGGAGTTAGGGAAATAAATAAATAAATAAAGCCTAAATCCAGAAGGAGAGGAGAAATAAAGATTAGAGAGGAAATCATTGAACTGGAAATTAAACAAACAGAACAGATTAAAAAAAAAAAAACAAAACACCAAAAAACCCCTCAGAGCTGGTTTTCTGATAAGCTGCAGAAAAAGAGAGACTCAAATGTTAGCAGGGAACCCCACTTCCTGTCCTTGTTTCTTGAATTTGGCCCAGAAAGAATTTGGAGTCAAACTCTTAGTAAGCAAGCATTTATTAGCAGCCAAAACAAAAGGAAGGTAGAGCAGACTATGAGACAGACAGAGAGAGACACAGAGACAAGGAGAAAGAGAGAGAGAGTGCAGGAGCCCTAAAGTGTCAGCACTTCCATCTTTTTAGCTACATTTTCTTTCTTGTTCCTTTGGTCCCACCCTTCCCTTCACACCCGCCCCCCCTTCCCCGTTTCTGTATTTAGTCTCCTTAGGGTGAGCCATTTTGGATATTTCCCATCATTTCTTGTGAAAATGGGGGTGGGAAGGTGAAGGGTATGGTGTGCGTGTGTGTGTGTGTGTGTGTGTGAGAAACTGCAATGTAAATGTATTATAATAAAGCTGTGGGTCCTTTGAGGATAGTGGGTACAGGGAGTTGCATCTGCATTTCTCTCAGGGATTTCTCCAGCTATTTATGCTCTGGAGGTGGTTGGTGGGTTCTGGCTTTTTCAACATTTGGAAAAAACCCTTCCCTGCTCATGTCAAGACTGGAAATTCAAAGATTGATAAGAACAAGTTTGGAAGATACATTGAAAAAATGACTGTAGCCAGAAAGCAGAATTTTAGAATCTTACTTCTTGGTGTTGAAATAAATTTTACTGCAAGTGAAGTTATATAATTTGGTAGGTGAAACAGTGTGGGTAATGATATGAAAATGTTGGGGTTCAGGAGCAAATGGTCCAGAAAGAATTCTTGAGGTGACTTTGGTGCAAAAATGGTGGTTTTATTAAAGCACGGGGACAGATCCTTGGGCAGAAAGAGCTGCACTGGGGTTATGAGGAGTTGGTTATATACTTTCAAGTTGGGAGAGGGTTAGGAATAGCATAAATCTCTAAGGAATTTGGAAGCAAGTTTCCAGGACCTTGAGAGGCTAGCTATTGTTAGGAAAGGTCATTTACTACTGTCTAATAAAATCTTAGTCATGAGACCCTTCAGGTGTATATTTGCAGGCCCTATGCTTGGGGATGATTACCAATACATATCTTGGGGGGGAAGGGATAAACCAAGTTTCCAAAGGAATATATTAAAGTAGACTTACAGACTTACAGGGTGGGGGTGGGGGGAATGTGTGGAGGTCGGACTAAGACTGCCTTTTGCCTTTAGCAAAGTACTAACATCCAGGGGCACCGGAGTGGCTCAGACAGCTCAGGCCATTAAGCATCTGCTTTTGGCTCAGTCCTGGGATTCCCCCCTCCCCATTGGGCTCCTTGCTCAGTGGGGAGCCTGCTTCTCTCTCTCCCTCTGCTGCTCTCTCTGCTTATGCTCTCCCTCTGTCAAATAAATAAATAAAAGTTACAAATGTAGTGATCAGAAGGGGGCACCTGCACCCCCAAAATTTATAGTAACAATATCCACAACAGCTGAGAATTATAAATGGAGCTTGATCTCCCATCCAGAGGGAGCCAAAAGCGGAAAGAAGGAGCAGCACAACCACACAGGCGCAGTTGCACCGGCGAAATTAATTTAGAGCCTCTCCACCTCTACTTGGGACCACCCATTTTGCCTCAGACGTCCTTTTTCCTGCGGAGACAAGGGCGAGGGGTGGAGAGGGAAGCTGTAGACCTGTAGTCCCCAACTTTAGCGTACATTAGTATTGCCCAGAGTTTCAGATTCTGTAGGTCCAAAATGGGACAGAGCATCTGCGTGTTGATAAGGCTCACCCACACCACACTTTGTGAGCCGCTACTCCCAGCTGAGTTACTAGCCGTAGGGTAGGCAGGGTAAAGGAAAATGGTCCTCCTCCTCCAGGATGTAGATTGGCCTTGTTAGGCATTCCCTACAGGGGGAAAGGGATATTCCTCATCTGTGTTCTCAGCACCTAGCACTGGGGGACTGTGGTTAGTGAACGCGCGCTGAAGCGACCCAGATGGAGGAGCTGCGGTCGCTGTGGAGAGGAGGACACCCCTGTCCCCAACCTGGACGCTCCGGGAATGAATCTCCTGCCGTGACCCAGCGAGTGTGCCAGTGGCTCCGCTGAGCCGGCTTTCCTCCCGCAGCGCCGGGCCTGGGAAGGGCGCCTAAGTGGGTCCCCGAGAAAGAAAAGGGGCGGAGGAGGTTAGCAGCGCAGGACTGGGGGGAACGGATGGAAAGCCGTCCGCACTCCGCGGACAGCGCTCCTCAACTATTAGCTGTCACAACTGACGGAGTCCCCGAAGGCCAGAGCCGGCCTCTGGCAGACTAAGAGGGCACAGAGGGCCCGCTGAGCTCACTGCGACGGCCGCACTCCTCTGGGCAGAGTCGGGGCTGCGGCTTATCAACCCCCCGGGCTCGGGGGCTGGGGGAGGATCAGCGGAGGGCAGGGAGAGTACACCGCGAAGGATGTGCTTGGCTGGGGGTGGAAGCCGTTCTGCCGTGGAGCGGGGGCGGGTGTGGGGGAGGATCTGCCCGGGGCGGGGTGGGGAGCGGGTCTGCGGAGAGTGAGGCCTGCGGCGGGGGCGGGCTATCTGAGGTAGGGGAAGGGCGCGGGAGGTGGGAGGTTACTGCAGGCGGAGGCTACCCAGGGAGGAGCGCGCAGCCGGATCTTTTCCCGCTCTGTCCCCCACCTGGCGGACGCTACCGACCTAACGCTGCGAAGTTGGGGAAGGAGCAGTCCGGCCCAGGGTAAGGTAGGCTCTGGCCCGAGCGCCCACCGGAGTACCCACGCCCGCGACAGCCCCGGGGCCTCTCCGCACCTCCCGCGCGGTGGCCTCTCCCAGCGCTGGGCCCACCCGCAGCCCTGCGCCGTGTCAACCCAGACAGCCCCTCGGGTTTCCTCACTTTCTGGAATTTTTCTCTAGGCCCTTCGGTCAGGTTCCCTGGAGGTTCTGCTTTGTCCCGTCTGTCTTCTCCTCGGAAATCTCTGAGCGTCGTCTGATCTCAGTCCGTCTCCCCGGACTCTTCACGCCCACGGTGAAGAGTCGAGTGGTGCCCGGGGGTCTGTCTTCTCTAATCTCTGGGTCCCATTCTCTTTTCCATCCTATTTCCCTACAGAAAACTGTTGCTTTCTACCCTCCCAACTCTGCCTAAGGGAGTCCTCAAGAAGCCCATGATAAAGCTGAAGCCTATGGAAGCGACACAGATGTTTTACCGATTGCGGCGACTCCTTTGTTCAGAAAACATTAGCTGAGCACTGGCTGTAATTCAGGCGCTGCTCTGGGTAGCGAGCACCCAGCCACGCCCCATGCAGAGCGCTTCCCCCATGCAGAGCTGCGCAGCCCCGGGACTGGGCTAGGCCGCCCTGGTTCTGCCTGCGTCGGACTCATAGAACTTTGATACCTAAGGAAAGAGCATTTGCCCCCGGGTGAGCCGCATAAAGAAGATCAGTAGCCACACGAATGCTGAGTGTTTTCTGGGAGCTAATTAGATGGCGTCCTACAGTAGCAGAGAAGTAGAAAATTGGGATGGGGATAGAAATTGGCACCCGGCTACAGAGAGAGTCCTACATTCCAGTGAGTGTTCTCTGATAAGCAGGGCTCATTCCTTACTAGTAGAAGGTCTCTCACAAATTTTGGAGAGATTATATTCTATTCTGTGAAATTTACTGGACTGAGGCTTGATCTTCTCTAAAATGTAACAGGGGTCAGAAAACCCAGTTACTATCAGGAGGCTCTTTGTTGCAGCTGCCCTCCAGTCTGTCGTGGGTCCTGGTCCTGCCTTCCAGTGAGGCCACCTCTGTGCTGCTCACCCACCTCCGCAGGCAAGGCCTCACTCAGCTCCCACCTCCTTCTCTGCCTCCAGGATGTCTGACTTCAGTTCTGTCCTCTCTGTTTAGCATGCTGACCTTTTTGTTGAGCATCCTGTACCTGTCTTCAGGGTTATTGGTAACAGCTCAGTTTGGAGGAGACTTCTCACCCAGGTATGTTGGAGAAGGGTTGGGAAGTTCTCTTTGCACTAGAGGCGTGCCTAGAGCCCCTGAAGGAAAGGCCTTTTGGATTTGCCCAAACTGTGTGCCACATGGTAACATCTTGAGGACTTCACACACCTTCTTTGTCCTTGCAGGATGAATCAAGTTTCCCTGACTCCCTCCCACATAATAAATCGCAATGTGGGTCTGAAAGTTGAAGGCTCAAGCTTCACACTAGATGGCTTTCCTTTCCTGATCATAGCAGGTACTATTCACTATTTCCGGGTGCCCAGGGAGTATTGGAGGGACCGCTTGCTGAAGCTGAAGGCCTGTGGCTTCAACACTGTGACCACGTGAGTGTTGGCATCTAAGTAATTAGTTCAAGAATTTATAGTCTGAATTTCTAGTTCTGAGACTTTATTAGACTAGTATAAGGGTTGACCCTTTTTGTATTTTCTTCATTATTCTTAGGATGTCTGAGTCTCCACTTGTTATCTCCAGAATATCCATTCTGTGGATAGAGCCTGCTCTGCTTGCTCTGAAAGGGCTCCCTTTAAACAGGCTGTGGCCTGCATGTAAAAGTCTAACTTTCAAAGGCATTGGTCAATACAGATGGATGTAGGTCAGTGGTCCCTAACTACTGAAGGAATTCAGGCACAGAGAGCCTCTCTCCTCCTTGGATATCCTCACTTGCTATAGGAGTGATGAGTCCTAGGATAGAATTCTGTTCCAGAAACTTTGGTCTTTGAAGATAGATTTCATTGAGAATCAGGTATGGCAAGTAACAAAATTATCCTCATTCTACATGCTGAAATTAACAAAAATTAGTAATTTCTTTCTAGGCTTCAAAGCTTGGAAAGTACTTATCCATTACTGTTTTGATATCAGTTTTAGCTGTATTCTCTTTTTCAGTGTTTTGATTTTTAAGATGTAGGTTTAGAAGAAAAAATATTTGATTGGAATTTGATTTGGTGAATGATGGAAGTGATATTTATTTTAAAATTTTTTTTATTTTTTTATAAACATATAATATATTATTAGCCCCAGGGGTACAGGTCTGTGAATTGCCAGGTTTACACACTTCACAGCACTCATCATAGCACATACCCTCCCCAATGTCCATAACCCCACTGCCCTCTTCCGACCCCCCTCCCCCCAGCAACCCTCAGTTTGTTTTGTGAGATTAAGAGTCTCTTATGGTTTGTTTCCCTCCCAATCCCATCTTGTTTCATTTATTCTTTTCCTACCCCCCAAGCCCCCCACATTGCATCTCCACTTCCTCATATCAGGAGACCATATGATAGTTGTCTTTCTCCGATTGATTTATTTTGCTAAGCATAATACCCTCTAGTTCCATCCCTGTTGTCCTAAATGGCAGGATTTCATTTCTTTTGATGGCTGCATAGTATTCCATTGTATATATATACCACATGGAAGTGGTATTTAAAAGCATTTACCCTCTAAACTGTCATAATGCTTTTTACACATCACATCAAATATTTTTTTTCCCTTTTCATATAGACATTCTTTTTAAAGGAGTTTTAGGTTCGCAGCAAAATTAAGCATAAAGTATAGGTTGTTAATTAACAGAGGCCACTGAGAGTTTTTATTATGAATGATGGTGTCAAATTTGTCAATACTTGGATCCTGTCTTCATTTCCTATAACATTAATATCGTAATTTTCTTCCTGAAACATACTTTTGCCAGATATGGAATTTGTAGGTGTGTGATATTATGTGATATAATGAGAAATATATATTTAGTCTTCATTCCCAGTTCTGCTACACAGTTCCTAGAATACTTGGACTTTCCTGAGTGAAAATGATCAGAAGAGCATTTTTTGTTATTCATAACAAGACTTTTTCAAGCATGTCTGAATTTATGTTAATGAGGTAACTTTTAGAAAGCCTCTCAGGATGAGGAAGAACTGGTTGCCAGGGGACTAAACTGTGTGACTGGAGAGTTGGAACTTTCAGCATCTGCCCCTACCAATTCTGACATCTGGAGAGGGGAGAGGGGCCAAAGGTTGAGTTAATTACCAATAACCAATGATTTAATCAACTATCCCTACATAGTGAAGTCTCCATAAAACCCTAACTGACAGAGATTGGCAAGCTTCCAGGTCGGTGAGCACATTGAAGTGCTGGAAGTGCAGGATTTCATTGAAGTGCTGGAAGTGCCCAGTGCAGGCATGGAAGCTCCATGTACCTTTCCTATACTTTTTCCTATGCATCTCTTCTGTTCCTGAGTTGTATCCTTTATAATAAACTGATAAAGCTAAGTGTTTCCCAGAGTTTTGTGAGCAGTTCTAACAAATTATCGAACTCGGAGAGGGGGCCATAGGAACCCTGATTTTTAGGCTGTTGATCAGAAATACTGGTGATAACCTGGGACTGGTATCTGAAATGGAAGAGTGAGGGAAACATCATGTGGGACTGAGCCCTTAACCTGTGTGGGGTTGTGCCAACTGAAAGCAATTAGTGTTAGAATTGAGCTAAATTGTAGGACACCTGGTTGGTATCTGCTAGGAATTGAAGAATTGCTTGGAGTGGAAAAACCTACATATCTTGTGTCAGAACTATTGTGGGACAAAAGTGAGACAAATTTTCCTTGAAACTGGCAATTCTTGTAGCACTTAAAAAAATATTGTGCTACTTCCTTCTGGCTTCCATAGAATAGGGTTATATTCCATGTCTCATAATTGACTATACTTCCAAGTGGGATTCCTCTATAAGTAATGCATCTTTTCTCTCTGGCTGCTTCCAAATTTTTTCTTTACTTTTTAGTTGTCTTTCTTTCTTTCTCTCCTTCCTTTCTCTCTTTCTTTCTTTCTTTCTTTCGTTTTTTTAGTGTTTCCATTTAAAAAAAAGGCTTTAATTTTTAGAGTAAGTAGTTTTTGGTTCAAACAAAATTAAGAAGAAGGCACAGAGATTTTCCATATAACACCAGCACCCACCAGTGCCAGGACTTCCCTCATTGTCAATATCTCCCATCAGAGTGGTCAATAAACCTACATTGACACATCAGCAATCACCCAAAGTCCATAGTTTATAGTGTAGTTTACGTTTGGTGTTATATATTGTATGGGTTTGGACAAATGTATAATGACACATATACACCATTAATAATGCCATAGAAAACAGTTTCACTGTCCTAAAAGTCCTGTGCTCCACTGTTCATCTTCCTTCTCCACTAACTCCTGGCCAGCATTGATCTTTTTACTGTCTCCATAGTTTTGCCTTTCCCAAAATGTCATGTAGTTGGAATCATACAGTATGTGGCCTTTTCAGATTGACTTCTTTCATATAGTAATATGCATTTAATTTTCCTCTTGCATATACTTTCATGGTTTGATCAGTTACTTTTTCAGTAATGAATGATTTTCCATTATGTGGCTGTACCGTGTTTACTTATCCATTTACCTATTGAAGGACGTCCTGCTTGCTTCTGAGTTTGGGCAATTATGAATAAAGCTGTGTGTCTATGTGCAGGTTTTTGTGTGGCCATTTGGGTATATACTTAAGATTATAAGATAAAAATATGTTTAGTTTTGTAAGAAACTGCCAAACTGTCTTCCAAACTGGCTATATCATTTTTCATTTTTTTAAAAGATTTTATTCATTTATTTGACAGACAGAGGTCACAAGTAGGCAGAGAGGCAGGCAGAGAGAGAGGAGGAAGCAGGCTCCCCGCTGAGCAGGGAGCCTGATGCGGGGCTCGATCCCAGGACCCTGGGATCATGGCCTGAGACAAAGGCAGAGGGTTTAACCCACTGAACCACTCAGGCGCCCCTCATTTTGCATTCTTATTATAAGTGACAGAATAGATCAAAAAGAGAGTTCCTCTTGCCTCATAGCCTTGGGAGCATTTAGTGGTGTTATTGTTCTAGATTTTGGATATTCTAATAGGTGTGTAGTGGTATCCTCATTCTTTTTTTTTTTAATTTTATATATTTATTTGACAGAGAAATCACAAGTAGGCAGAGAGGCAGGCAGAGAGAGTGGGGGAAGCAGGTTCCCTGCTTGATCCCAGGACCCTGAGATCAGGACCTGAGCTGAAGGCAGAGGCTTAACCCACTGAGCCACCCAGGCACCCTGTGGTATCTCATTCTTATTTTAAATTGCGATACCCTAATGAGATAACATGTTGAGCATTTTTTCACATGTCCATTTTCCATTTGTATAGTTTTTTTTAAAGATTTTATTTATTTATTTGATAGGTAGAGATCTCAAGTAGACAGAGAGAGAGAGGAGGAAGCAGGCTCCCTGCTGAGCAGAGAGCCCGATGCAGGGCTCCATCCCAGGACCCTGAGATCACGACCCGAGGCTTTAACCCACTGAGCCACCCAGGCGCCCCCCATTTGTATAGGTTTTTGATGAGTTGTCTGTTCAGATCTTTTGCACATTTTACGTGCATGTTATTTTCTTATTGTTGAGCTTCAAGAGTTTTGTATATTTTAGATAATATATCTTTGAGATAAATCTTTTGCAAGGGTTTTTCTCCCAGTCTGTGGCTTGTCTTATTGTCTTGACAATGTCTTTTGCATAGCATATGTTTTTAATTTTTAACGAGGTTCAACTTAATTATGTCATGCAGTGTGCTTTTAGTGTTGTACCTAAAAAGTCATTGCCAAACCCAAGGTTATCTAGATTTTCTTCTATGTTATCTTCTAGGAGGTTTATAGTTTCATACTTTACATTTAAGTTTATGATCTATTTTTAGTTCATTTTCATGAAGGTTATAAAATCTGTATCTACATCAGTTTTTGGTGTGTGCATTTTTTGGTTGTCCTATTGTTGCAGCACCATTTTTTAAAAAGACTACTTTTTTCTCTTTACTGTATTGCTTTTGCTCCTTTGTCAAAAATAAGTGGACTGTACTTGTTTGGATATATTTCTACACTCACTATTCTGTTTCCTTGATCTACTTGTCTGTTCTTTCATCAGTGCCACACTATCTTGATTGCTGTAGCTTTATGGTGAGTTTTGAAGTTGGATAGTGTTATCTGTCCAGTGGTTCATTGCTCTTATGTAAGAAAATGATTAACTTTTGTATATTAACCTTGTTTTCTGAAATCTTGCTATTGATCGCTTAGTAGTTCCAAGAGGGTTTTTTTTTTTTTGTCTTTTTTTTCAAATATTTTATTTATTTATTTATTTGTCAGAGAAAGACAGAGTGAGAGAGAGAGCATGTGCCCAAGCTGGGGGATTGGCAGGCAGAGGAAAAAGGAGGCTCCTGTTGAGCAAGGAGCTGGATGCAGGACTTGATCCAGAACTCTGGGATCAGGATCTGAACTAAAGACAGCTTATTCAACCGACTGAGCCACCCAGGCATTCCTCTTTTCAGTTTTTT